GACACGAAAAAAGACAAAAAGGAAAAAAAAACTATTTGTTATAACATTGTTTGAAATAGCAAAAAAAAAAAAAAAGGAAAAGGCCTCAATGTTCATTAGTTATGGAATGATTAAATAAATTAGGTACGACTATACTATGGAATATCATGCAGTTATCAAAAATATTAATAAACGGATCCCAATATATTGACCTAGACCGAGGATTTCCACGATATGTTGTTAAACTTTTAAAAAGTGCAAATGTAGCATGATTCCATTTTAAGACACTTGTTTAAAAGAAACGATGGGCCAGCCTGTGGCTCACTCGGTAGAGTGCGGTGCTGATAAAAGAAACGAAAACCTATATATGTGCGTTAAAAAGTGCAAATGTAGCATGATTCCATTTTAAGACACTTGTTTAAAAGAAACGATGGGCCGGCCTGTGGCTCACTCGGTAGAGTGCGGTGCTGATAAAAGAAACGAAAACCTATATATGTGCGCGCTGTATATGTTCGTTTATATTTGCCTTGGCATGTGTAAAGTAGTGCAAACACGCAAGCACACTTCACGCTGGTAACTCAGTACAGTCAGTGAGACAAAGGGCAGAAAGGGTGATTACTCAGTTTAATTTTTATCCCTATTTAACCTGTTATTTTTAAAAAGCATGTAACTTTTGTAAACATTCACATTTAAAAAGTTAAGGAACTTCAAATGCAAGGGCACTATATACAGTTATTCAGGCTGAGCACTGCACAGAGAATCTGGTGTGGGAGGTAATATTCTCATCGTAGACCTGGGGGGGTGAAAGGACGAAGGTAGACACCAGCCCAAGTTCTGAAGCTGCGGGACAGTCCTCCCCTACATCACACCCACGCCCACACGCTGGGACATGCACACGCTCAGAAGAGCAGGCACATACTCTGCTGGCACCCTCAGAAGCACCCCGGGTCTGTCCCGGCCATGCTCCAGGCAGCCCCTAAGTAAGCCTCTTGCTTACTGTCCACGCCTGGAAACCTAATTCCCTCCCCCTCCCCACTCCAAACCTGGTATAATGCCTTCACTTAATGGGGAACCGGGGTTGAGGCAGAGGTGTGAACTGCCAGGGGCATATGTGTCCTGGTGCTGGGGCAGGGGCAAGTACGGAGTCTGAGCGAGCGAGTGTGGACACTGAGCGCCCTCAGCCAGGACGGCTGCCCAGCCGGTGTTCGGCAAAGTCTATGCTGGGCACCATCAGGACGAGGCTGCCAGGTCCAGCGGTTCCAGCTGTGCAGTAGTCTACTAAATTTAACACAATTTTACCTGAGGAAGGGGCATCGTTTTCTAGTTTGCACAGAGATGCCATATGGGCAAACAGATGCCCCAATAATAAGTGACAGAGACAGAATTCATCCCCAGGCTGCACTCCATCATCAGCCGTATGACTTTGGAGATAAAAATATGATCACGGATATTACAGCCCTTTTTGAAAAGTCATAAATATAAGGTATCATTATAAACAGTTCTCCAGTTCTCCAGCCAGCAGACTGCTGGAGGCCAGCTCATCTGTCCTGGTCTCTAGACACATGAGGATTTAAGCCACCGGGAGAGATTGATGTCTGTGTTTTCCTCAAAACACAACAGCCCACAACGATCTCTCATTTTTCCATTTCTATTGCATTTAGGTCTGTACCAGGTTTTTAGAAATTAATGTGTTTTACAACCTCCACGATGTTTCTTTCTTTCTTTGAGCGGGTATGGTATACTTGTGATGTGTGTGTGCACACGCGTGTGTGCGTGTCCTCAATAAGATCGGGAGCTCCTCGAGGACACTGTGCTCCTTCACATGTCCCACAGAGCCTCACGGGTCCTCACCAACTGTTTTCCCTGGTCACTGTGTTAAGACGTCTCTGCATCTATAGTATAGATTTAAACAAATGAAAATATTTCTAACAGAGAAGAAATTAAATAACGTATAAATGATGCCTAGATAGTACTTGGTCTATGACAGATGCTTATAAATATTTCTTTCTCTTCATTTTCCTGCTGATGCACAAAGCATGAGAACATTCATTCAACAATGTCAATTCAAGGCTATTTGTTAAGCATTAGGCATTGTGCTGGGTATTGGGATACAATGACAAGTAATAATCTTTTTTCTCAAGGACTGTGGTCCATCTGGCCAGAAAAATAGCCTTGATTTTAACCTCCCACATGTTATATGAAGTTTTGAACAAGGTGCTCTTGGGTGGAGCATCACGGAGGGATGATTTGATTTATTAATGATGTTCCGGGGATGGAAGAGGTTTGGAGATGGCCGTTTGGAAGACCATGTGTGAACACTGTCTTGAGGGATGGGTGGGAGCTCACAGAGCCGACAATCCGCACGAGCATTACAGGCAGCGGGAGTGTCGTATGAGAAGCCACTGTCAATATTGAAGGCTAGCTTGAAAACAACCACCTTCTTGAGCAGAACTACGATCCAATGCAACTGACGGGGAAGCGACCTCAAATCAAAGTCGGCTGACTGGAAGAAAGAGCCGTGCTTCAGACTTGGGCTCCCCGGCAGCCACCTGCCCCCTAGGGCTCTTCGGAGCCTGGCACTAGCCTTTACGTACTTTTATTTTAAAGGTATTTGGAGCTTGTTAAATTATGTATGTTATTATTTTCTTTTATCTAGAAAGGAACTGTTTTTAATGACAAGGACCAAAAGTCACAAGCCCCCCTAGGAATTTATTTTAAACCTGGGAATTTCCCCGAGGCCTGGAATTTGGAGTCTGGGTTCCAGATTTGGGGGTGATTGTTGGGCTCCCCTCTCAGACCGTGCCAGCCTGCACCATCTGTTCAGCAGGGCGCAGCTTCCCGAAGGTCTGGGCCAGCCCCCTGGTAACTCCACCTGGGGAGAAAAGCAGCTCTGCTGACCCTCAGGTCAGAGATAAAGCCCAAGTGATTACAGTTTCAGCTT